TTAAGTGATATGATGTTAATGTCAATCAAAATGAGACAAATAATAAAGCTTCTAGCGTTGAACATTTTCGGCCTATAACTTGATACGATTAGCCACTATCTTTAAGAAGCTGGCCTTGTAAAGTTTTCGAAATTGCAGACACTTAGTAGTCTTCGTTTCCAATCTAATAAGAGCCAATCTTTCCAATATGATTAAGTCTGATAATATATATGAGATGTGCTTAACCTATTTCGTTTACGGTGATAGTTGAATTTTCTCACAATGGTATGAGTAAACATGTCGTTTCTATTTGATTTCACACAGCCTTGTTTCCCGAGAGTTATTTTTATCCAGGTTGGACTGCGGTTTCGACCTTGCTTATGTCTTATCAACACCCCCAGCGGGACTCGAACCATGATAAAATGCCTGGCCTTGCTTGAAATTCACATTTTCCCTCTGATACAACGGTATTTGTGGTATTTTGGCGGAGTTGTCAACGTATCGAGATCATACGCTGCGATGTCATGGTTCGAGTCCCGTTTAGGGTGCTGATAAGACCTAGGCAAGGTCGAGACTGCAGCTCACCCTGGGTGAAGATAACTTTTGTGGAAGCCACAGCTATGTAAAATTAAAAGAAAATATCATGTTTACTCATATCATTTGTGGAAAACTTCAACTACTTCCTCTTATCACGCTAATCAAACTAGGATGAATATCGCATATGTGTGATCTACTGCTAGTCTCGAAAGCCTACCTATAAAACGAAAAATAAGTCAGATAATATTCATATTTGCACGTCAGAATATGTAATGATCCTCATTAGTTCAGCCCCACAGCAACAGTTTTGTTACAGCCATCGTCACAACCCCCACCAGGAAGCAGTAGACACTCAGCCTACATTCAACACCAATCAGAAAATGACATCATCACACTGTCCTCTGTGACCAAACAAACTTAACCGCCACATCAAATCTCCCTGTTGAGCCAATCCGAGCATGGCAACTGACGACCTTCATATCCGCGACTTCTCTTGTCCTTTGTGACCTGTGTCCGAACCTTGTCTCAACGCGCAAACGCCACACTTCTGCAAAGTTTTTGCCTTTATACTCTGAATCCTCTCCTGCAGTTTCCCTTGTTAAATCCAGAGTATTCCGTAATTCGTCTTTATTTTTGAAGTACATAGTAGCGCGAACCCGACACATTTTTTCAGATCTATAGAGCTGCGCAGATTCAATAGAGCTACATTTTGTGCATGTATCAAATCAAACACAATACTACTACTACTACTACTACTACTACTACTACTACTACTACTAATAATAATAATAATAATAATAATAGCCCTTAATTCGTCATATGCTGCAAATGGCCTCACCCTCGTCGGAGCTCTTGAGTTCACAAACTGGGAGTGTATGTCACACCTTTTAAAAAATTTCGATTTCATCTGTGATATATTTCGACTATTTACACAACTTACTAATTTTAACAATACGGTGAGTTAATCAGAACATATCCCGTCTGGATGGAATAGAGATGACAAATTTTATTATTTTTAAACGAAGACATAAAGACCAAGATGGTATGGCCCTGAGTATGCTCGCAGTCTTCTTTCGAGGTATAGAAGTGGGTTGACCTCGTTTTCGCAACATGGTCTTTTTGTCAGGGTCGCAACCTGTCCGAAGTCATCTGTTATATTATTTTTCATAATTCCCAGCGTCAGACTATTGACTTAATACATTCTCAGACGTTTCACTAGAATCGTAGTCAGAATCATCAGTGAGTATTGCTATTCTCAATACCAAGATGCAACTCGTCAAAGAGACAAGCGAAGTCAACAATTCTACCAACCTTCTGTCGAAACAGTTGTGCTATCACTCTTGTTACTGTCTTTGCCCATCTATATACCCATTATCCTCTTATCCCACTCCCGCCCTATCATAAATGAATTGTTTAAATTCCACTCGTCAAAATGTGTGCTCTTTTTGGCAAGTTTAGTGTGGTGTCTTCACACCTGCTTACCTTATCGCCCTCTCTTTCGCCCGGCTAATCCGACTCGGACCTCTTATCCGGATCTCCCTCATGGTCCCGTGGATCCGTTTCCGATCTTTCTGGTTTACCGATTTCAATCAGTTCCAGTCTTAGAGTACGTTTTATTCCAGGTGGTATTTCTAAAGCCCTTAGAAGCACGCATACTGTCGCCTCATCGAGCAGAGCGCTTAGACTCTGATTCTCATGCTGGCAGATATTAAGCATTGCCTTCACTGGTCGTCTCCTTGATTAAACCCATGTAACCTGAGCAAACCATGACCGCCTATTCTTGGTCGACTGCGATGATGTTATCAGTGAGTAATGTCTGTTCGAAGTAAACCAGTACAACTTTGTGGGCCTGGCGATCAGGGAACTAGGCAGACGGATAAGCACAACCGTCACAAAAATGGTAATTATGGCCAAAATGTACTGGAAATCCACTTGAGATGCCACAGGCGACCAAGGATAGTCGTCAACAATTTACTCAGGTAACATGGGTTTAATCAAGGAGACGACCCGTGGAGACAATGGGCAATATCTACAAGCATGGGAATCAGAGCCTAGGCACTCTGCTCGGTGAGGCGACAGTGTAAGTGCTTCTAAGACCTTGAGAAATAGCGCCTGGAGTTAAACGCACACTGGGACTGGAACTGGGTGAAATCGTATAACCAGAAAGATTAGAAACGGATCTACAGGAACATGAGGGTGATCCGGATAGGAGGCCCGAGTCGGATTAGCCGATCGAAAGGGAGGGGTCCACACTAAATTTGCCAAAAAGGGCACACATTTTGACGAGTGGAATGTAACCAAGTCAGAACTTGTGATGGGGCGGGAGTTGGATAAGAGGATAAGAAGTGAATAGATGTGCCAGGACATAATGAGGAGGATAGTGTAGTTTTTTCGGCAGAGCGTTGGTCGAGGGATTGACTTTACTTGTGTCTGACGCGTTTGTTGTTTGGTGCATAGAATGGCAAGACTCACTGATGATACCGACTACGATGTCGGCGAAACGTCTTAGAATGTACCAAGTCCACGGTTTGATGCTTGGAATTATTGTACCTACTATGGCAGAGGACTTCGGACAAGATGCGTTCAACTAAGTCGCCCTGATAACAAGACTAAGTTGTGAAAACGATTCAATCCACTTCTGGTTTATAAACTTCAGAAAGTCATCCAGGCGCCACATGAGCACTCCTGGTTGTAGCGGTGACACTTTAAATTTCTCTTCTAATTCGTTTGTGTATACGTTTGCCTAAAGAGGTGAGAGCGGCGATGCCATGGGAAGTCTAAATATTTGCTCATAGTTTTTCCATTTGAATGTGAAATAGCTGTCAAGTTGATCAGTCCTGTTGACAATTCCAATTGATCATTTTTGCTTTCAAGATACCCTCTGTCCAAGATTTCCTGCAGAGCCGTTAGCGGCTTTTCTCCAGAGATCTTTTATACATGAATCATGCATAAAAACTTGCTAATAAGTATTTTTCTTCTAGTGCCATGTTTTTGATTCTTTGTTAATTTCATATGAATGATTTTCTGTGTTTGATAACCTGTCATTTAGTTTTTTGACTTTCAAACATATGAAGTTTGCCCTTTGTGTGTCGCTCCATACTTATTGTTGACTATCAGCCTTAGTGGTTCGCCTTCTTTGTGTATCCTCGGTTATCCTTAGGCTGTTCGTGGTCGTACATCCTTTCATATGGTTGAATTTTTCAGCCGATTGCTCAAGCAAAATCACTTAAAATACGAATACAGTAAGACCAGCAAAAAGGAGACACCTGGATCAAGGAACTATCGTTAACCAAAGGAAAAGGCATCGCGAGGAGGAAGAGAGTGGGGAAATTTAGAAAATAAAGCGAGGCCGTTCTCAGTGAATTAAGCCTGCTCGAAGATACCAGTACAACTTTTGGGGCCTGGAGGCAATGGAATTAGGGACACGTATAATCGCAACGGTCACAGAAATTTGGCATTTGGCCAAAATGGACTAGAGATCCACTCGAGATGTAGCAGGCGCCCAGGGATCAGCGTCCATAATTTGCTCAGGTAACGCGGGTTTAATCAAGAAGACGACCCGCGAAGGTAATGCTTAATATCTACAAGCATGGGAATGGGAATCTAGGCGCTCTGTTTGGTGAGGCGGCAGTGTACGATGCTTCTAAGGGCTTTACAAATAACGTCTGGAGTAAAACTTTTTCTGGGACTGGAACCGACTGAAATCGGTCAACCAGAAAGATAACAAAAGGTTCCACGGGATCATGAGTGAGATTTAAGTTGTAGCTTGGTGCTGAGGATCGCAAGATTCACTAATTATGACGATGAAACGTCTGATAATGTGCCCAGTCCACGGTCAGACGCTGAGATTTAGGATAACTATAATAGTCCAACATAGTCACCATGATAACAAGACCAAGTTGCGAAAAACGAGGTCAACCCACTTTTATTATTGTTATTCATAGTAGTTGGTTTAGAGAAGATCATATCGTGCCTCTGATGTTGACGGTTCCAGAAGGACAGCTGAGGACGCATATTTTTGTTTTATGATTAGGTTTTCGAGACTTAATCGAAATAAGCTAAGTACGTTTTACATTTGTTTGATTCCCACTGAAGGTGCTAGACGAGGTCGAAACTGCACTTTATCCTGGATGATAAGATCTTTTGGGAAGCAAGGCTATCGGAAATTGAGGCCTACTTATATTATTGTGGAAAATTCGATTATCAGTCCTTTATCACCTTAAAGAAAATAGTGTGAATATATTTTATAAAATGGAAATTTAACTGCTAGATACCGAGGGATGGCCTAAGGAACAACTGCTGCTAATGAAAAGTAGCGTTAGGCTTGATGTCGGATTTTTTGAATTCTTTTTTCCGGGCATCTCAAACGCCTGTCTTATTAAGCCTGAATCGCATTCTAGAATTCATCTCACTCTTTCATTAGCACTTATAATGGTATTCTAACCCGGGATATGCGGTCAAATAATGCAACATCCACTTTCCATCATTCAACGGCTAATGTGTTAGACAATAAAAAAGATTTTAACAGATGTTCAATCCTCTCTCAATTTATATCATTTTATAGTGAATATTGTTATGATAGATAACCGCTTTAACTAAATAGGATACTAATTGATGTAGATATGATCCGTTTTTATTTCGAGGCTGACTGCTTTTGGGGTATAAAAGTTTCGAATTCCTTTTTTATTCTATGAAAAAAATGGGTTTCTCTAGATCTGTATACTTTCTACGCTTTTTCATTAAGAATGAATTGTTGCTCTGATGTCTGTTACAGTACAGACAAAGCCTAGCATAGGTTCATCGGAGCCGAGGACTTCTTCATGCACTCCACTAGTCTTGCGTCCTCAGCAATCCTCCTTCGGTTCCTGGTGAGGCCATTTCACGAATTTCTTGCAACCAATTTTTTCTTTCAAATGGGGATTCTTCACAATTCTCCTTCGACTGGTGACGAGTTTGCCTTGAATTCCCTTCAAAATCATATGTACTGATAGAGACTTGCTTTGCGTTTAAATTCAAGTTTGTCTCATAAAATAAGGACTGGGTTTGTATGAGTTAGGCGTCCGCATGTTTGCTTCAATCTCCATGTTCACGATTAAATCCTATTTGAGGTACTTTGGAATGGCCTGAACTGCATCCCACCCTATTTAGGATTCTATTTTTGAGAGGCCTGGTAATGAGGTATTTGAAGCAAATGGTAAGCATTCTTTTAAATGTATTGTTGGCAGAGTCGCCATCAATCATTCTGAACTGAGATATTGCCTCCCGATATCTTTCGATCATTAATGGCTGTTAACTACACTTTTTACACCTCAATAATTTTATTTGTTTGGCTTATCAGCATCCAAAGAGAACAAGAGTTGCTAGTCTCGAAACCAACTACTATAAATAAAAATAATCAAGTTCACCATCTCTGTTCCATCCACACAGGATATTTTGTTATTACTTTACCGTTTTTGTTGAAATGAGCAAGGTGGGCAAATAGGCGAGGCTTTTTGTAGGAGAAATCACCAATTAAAAAACTATAACATGAGATTGAACCAGATGTTAATTCTAGACCATCCAAATTTGTGAATGCAAGAGCCCCGACCACAAAGGTAACGCATTAATCTTAGTCACCTTTTGCATCATAGGAACAGCTATGACAATTCCACAATTACCATTCAGACTAGAGGTTGGTGTTTGGTTGGGTAAATCCACAAAAATTATCCTATTGAATATGTGGTCTTTGCTGATCAAGCTGAAACTATGGAGATCATTAAGACAATCATTTATGCCCTCATCAATTCTATTTTCATCTATTTCTAGGCTGTCATATGCCATTTTCTATTCATCTCCTCATCATACCGTCTTCATGCTTTTTGCTAATCTCAAGAAATTAGTTAGATACATTTGACAATTGACGTTCGAAGAGTGCTGACTGTTCTCGATTTTACAATAAGTAGGTATTGGAAATGCCAGTATATCTTGAATAAGAGTTACATTCAAATATAACAAAGGACTGATGATCGAATTTTCCTATAATGATAAAAGTAGACCTTACAATGTTTTGCAGACATTCTCAGTCAGAGTGGACGGCATTTTCCTTCACGCCTGCGTCTTATCAGTACTCCAAACAGTAGGTCAGGGTGGTTCAGCCTATAATTTCATGCTGCCACTACGCCATGCTACCACAAGTGTGAGTCGGTCATGGAAGAAGTGAATTTCAAAGCTAACTAGGCCTCTCACGTTTAATTTTTATAGTTCGCTGAAGCAAACATGTGTCTGTCATTAGGTACCTACGTTTATTCGTCTTGAATAATGCTTCGAGATTATCAGTAGATCTTTACTACGGGCTTTATTCACTACATATCACCTAAAGTAATGAAGAGATGGTCACTTTTCCCATAACGAGATGGGTGGGTCTCACGGTGACAATGTAGTTCGCTTAGCTTTTCATCCTAAAAGGTATTCTCATCCTGTTTTAAAGCCTGTGAAAAATTATTAGAGTTTGCTGGAGCCCCTTGTCCTTTCCAATGCTCTTTAACTAGGCCACAATTATTACGTAGATGCTAAAATAGGTTAACATATTTTAACTAGCAAGCATTGCATTTATTTGTCCCCTCAAATGCTAGTTAATGGAGTACTTCGTCTAAATTTCAAGCGGGTCTTACCTTTGGGCTAAATTACTGGGAAAACTTCGTTTGCAAGGTAATGAAACTATAAATAATCGATCCTCATAATTAACAAAGCCTGAATTTGCACTTTAATTATCAAACTAAATATGTTGTTACCCTATTTATCTCTATTTTGCCCTGTTACATAACTCTGGATAATAAATATTACTTATAAGTAGTATTATGCATTTACGTTTACTTGTTCGCGGAGGCCGACCTCAACTTTCACTCTCCATTTTCTTATCATGTCCTGGAAACTCAGACAACTGGATAATAATCCTTTAGTGGGCAATTGTTTTAGTAAAATTTTTGCATGCAATTTATATTCAAGCTTTATTATTCAAAGCCATAAAATACGAATAAAAATAAAATTGAGTTGCGATTTTCTATGGCGCTTACTCACTTATATTTCTTTTGTTCTATATCCCTGTCCTCCATCACCTCATCACTTTTACACTATACATCCGTGTAAAGATGCTAAGTCAATTATTCCATTCATTGCCAGCCGATCCAGCCCCTTGACTGCCGGTCTTCTCAAAAATTCCATTATTTGCCACGAATACTGGTTCATATTCCTCGATTTTCTGCATAAGAGAAATGACCAATCCCACCCAAATCTTTCGCCTTCTTTTCCTTTCCTTCCTTTCCTTCTTCGAACTCCACTTTTACCCTTTCATGTTCCAAAGCTAGATTTATCGCCATATACTTGCCATACTTGCATTGCAACTGTTACTGCTTACACTTACTTTATTTTTCCTCCTTATGGTTCTCCTCTCACTCACGCTATTTCTCCAACTATTTTTTTAAATTCTACTTTTTTATTTAATTCTTATATTTCCTCACGCTCCTCTTTTTATCCTTTTTCAATTCCATTTACATATATGCCATCTGAAATTTTTAGCCACTCATTCCTCATCTCACCTTTAGCGGTCCCAAACGGCAATAGAATCTCGCTCTCACTTATTCCTCTCCGCCCCATCGTAGGCGTCTATATTATTCTTCCTAGCCAGACGCTCTGCTGCCTAGCTATCACATGTTCTCATAACTCTCTTCTCGGCCGCCTCACTATCCCAACTTGTCTTTGCCGAACCTCTTCATCAAATGAACTAAGTAAGTGTAACAGGATTACTCTACCAAATTATCATGTAGAGTGGTCAGCTTCCTTCTCCTCTACGATTTTTTCTCCTCTTCCTCTTTCTACTGGGCCGATTTCATTTTCTATTCCAAATTCCTCACAAATTTCCCTCAACTCCTCTTCCCGGCATCAAGGTGAATCTAAACCTTCCTTCTCCTGTCTTTTGACTTTCTTAATTTGGTTCTGTTGCCTCCTTGGGCTCTTAGTACGATCCGCATTTTTCTTCTTTTCACCCTTGCTAGAAGATATTCCTTCAACTCTTTCTCTCTTTCTTCTACTTCCGCGAATGTGCCATTCCTTGGCAGCAGGGCCAACTATAAGTGTTGTTGGCGGAGTGCCTGAAGTCATCAGAAGAAGTCTTTTTCATCAGGTTTTGCAGAATGATTTCCGCGTATCTTCGCAGAGAGAACAACAGATGTTTTTAGATCGTCAGCGTCGGTTTTCAATGTCAACAAAAGCCATCAGTGAGGGATGTGCCATTTCCCTGCTAACACCAGAACAGGTGCCTGATTCTGGATTCTCAGCTTCCAGTTGGGAAAGCCAGCGGATGTCTCCTCAGATGATAAGGTAATCTATATATCAGTGTTCGGTCAGGTCATCGTTATATCATTCATTTATAAGTAGGTTGTACTCACCTTCATCATCTTAAGGAAATAAGGTGAATACATCACGCTGCTATATCTGTCTATGCATAAACACTTTATGTGAACGAATCCTTTAAAAAATTGGGTTCATATCCTTCAAGCTCATATTACTGCTATAAATACTCCCTTTAGTCAATACTATACATATGAAATATATTCGCCCTATTTCGTTTGAAGTGAGAAAAGCATTAGTAGTTGAATTTTCCTATTTAATTGTACATTGTCTTGTTTTCCCAAAAGGTATTCTTATCCAGAGTGGACGGTAGTTTCAACCTCGTATTGGTCTTATCAACACCCACAGCACGACCCGAACCCTAGCAGTACATTGTATAATCTCGACACGTTAACCATTATGTAACATTGCCAGGAGTGTCTTTGGGTCACAGCGTCACAGATTACTCATAAATAAAAAAATATGTAACGTAGTCAATGACTATAGCGAATACAACTTGGCTTCATCGACAATCCCATTACAGGATGTGATACGGAAAAAATTCCTGGTCTTCTGTGAGATTCACATATGCCATGTGACCCACTGGCACTCGTGGCAATGTGACATAGTGGTTAACGTGTCAAGATTATAAGCTGCACTGTCATGGTTTAAGCCCCGCTCTAGTCAAATAATTCTGGGAAAATTCGACTACTAGTCCCCTTATAACCTTAAACTAAATAGGGTGAATACACTTCATATATAAATGATTTACTGGAAGTCTCGAAAGCCTACTTATAAACGAAACATATACTATTACGTATTTTTTATTCTTTCTAGAAACTAATCTTTTTTGAATTGACTTCATTTTTGCTACTTGGTAGGACGCACCTAATTCTGCTTCCTTTGTTATAAGATTTACGATAATACAAAACATAGGAATGCTGACTTGGGACGCTTCACAGGCATCATCGATAAGAAGCGCTATCCTTAAAACAGAATTACATTTTGTCACTGATAAGTACCATTGATTGTGTTTGTGAAAGCCTTATGAGCCTGGAGAACGTCTTTGTGCTCCATAGCCACAATTTTGTTATAGCTATGGTTATGATCAGTCCGTAAGCGGTAATATCTCAGCCTGCATGTAATACTAATCAGAACATGACATATCCTCACACTGTGCCGCAGAAACCAGAAAAACATAGCTACCGCATCGATTCTCTCAGTTGAGTAAAACCAAACACATCAATTAAAGTATTTTAATCGAAGATATGAAGACCAAGATGGTGTAGTCTCTTGTGTGGTCACGGTCTCATTTCGTTGTATAGAAGTTGTTTGACCTTGTTTTCGCAACTTGGTCATATTGATAGGAAGACTTAGAGGAATGCACCTAGTCCGGAGTCCATTGTATGCATGATAATTTCCAAAGTCGGACCGTATACGTGGTACATTCCCAGACCTTTCGCCGGCATCGTAGTCGGCATCGTTTGTGAGTTTTGCCATTCGTAGCACCATATTACAACTCGTCAAAGATACAAGTC